CATTCAAGGACCTTACAAAATAAAATTAAATACATTTATACACAAATAAACAAAGTATAACCGTCTTGCTGCCACGTAATTCACGTAATTGAGCAGACAAATCAACTCCGAGAGCACAACCTGAACCCAGTCTGCGCAAATTTTAAGAGAGAGAGAGAGAGAGAGAGAGAGACGGATACAATAAGCATTTTGAAACAAAACATGATTACGTATGCACTGTTAACTTCTGCACAAGCTTTGCAATTCAACAGTTATACTATTTGAAAACTAAAAAAACCTCATCGTATTACAAATATATAATTTATAAGGTTGCAAAAATAGGGCATTATCATTTACCAGGCAACTGCCCGATCATTGATTGAGCCCCTACTCGATCATTTATAATGAGATTGAAAGCGTCTCAGGGTAAACATGCCTGTAGACCTTGCTCCTTTGTTTGCCTCAGCATGAAGATCGTTTACCTCAACTCAGAACGCCTGGTTTGACAATTCGATTGTGTAAAACAAAGTGACTTATTCGTTGATTAAGAGGGTAACAGGAAACTGGGGAAATAGGGTTTGTGTGCTGAGGTGGTAGAGGGGGAGGGAGGGTGGGCAGGAAATTGATTGACTGACGATTGCAGATAATGTAACCTATCGAGAGTGGAATAGAAAACATGTCTCTCTCTCTCTCTCTCTCTCTCTCTCTCTCTCTCTCTCTCTCTCCCCTCTCTCCCTCTCTTTCTCTCGAGATAGAGTGAGAGAAAGAGAAGTAAGGATCTTAGAGGGGTTTTCAACAACAAGTGTTAAAAAAATCATTACACGTATCATCAATTTTCTCATTGATCTCTACCCGTCTTCCGTTTCCAGGAGAAGTATTGTTTTGGCGCTATTCCACCTGAATAAGATAGCAGCAACAGATGCAGGCGGTTACTCATGACCACCGGAACTGTAAAGAAATTGCAAAAGTAATTTAAAAAGAAAAGCAGCTTTGGAGGTTCTTTTAATTTGTGGCCAGTTACCTGAAAATCCAGAATAAAGGCATTTCTGGGATATCTACTGCCCTGGAAGATATCCGTATTACAGAATATAGCTCTCTCTGTCTCTGTCTCTTTCTCTCTCTCTCTCTCATTCTCTTTCTCTCCCCCCCTCTCTCTCTCTCTCTCTCTCTCTCTCTCTGTGTGAACAAATGATAGTGACCTCCCGATTCTGTGCTAAGAAGTAGAAGCAGGAATACGAACACCGAAGAACGACAAAGCTGCTGAAGTAGACAACAGCCCAGCTAAACTGATTAAGCATGGGGAGAGTCAGTGACGGACTTGCTCACTAAAATCAGGAATGAGATCTCGCTCACTGCAGAGTGGCCGACATCTTGGACGCAGTCACACATCGCCACAAGAAAGGAAATCTACAACCCTGTCAAACAACAGCGTCATAAGCCATGCAAATGATGCCGAGAATCAACCTGAATAGATTGCAGTCACAGTCACAGGCAGAGGATATTATAACCGCAGAGCAGGTTGGTTTCCATTGTGGAAGAAGTGTCACAGAACAGATCTTCAAGACCAGCAAGAGGATGTCTACTACGTCTTTACTGATTTTAAAAAGGCGTCCGACAGGGAGTGGCGTGATGCATTATGGGCAACAATTCGAACAAATTACAATCTGGACCAAAAACTGATCAACACTATCAGACAGCTGTACATACAGACCAGCAGTGCAGTACTTGTGCAAGGTGCGATGGGCGACTGGTTCAACACATCGGTAGGAGTTCACCAGGGTTGCCTCCTCTCATCGACATTGTTTAACATTATTCCTTGACCGTTATACATGTAATGAAGATGCCATTGAAGAACACCAAGGCACAGTCAGCATAGGTAGCCGGACTAATTTAGTAATAATGATGGTAATAATAATAAATAATAATA